TTCTGGGTTTCATCATCTGACCCATCAGGGACAATATATCTTGTCCACCTCGAGGCCGTGCATTTACAGCATCTAGATCATGTAGCGTAACATCCTAGACTATCTCTTTTTTTGTGAACCTCTCCTTTAGGAAGTGGAACATACTCTTCTGCCTCGAGATCAAATTCAGTAGCAAAAGCATCACACCGACCAGTATACAACAACACCGACTGCCTAATAAACCCAATACACTGCCCAATAAACCAAACCCACTGCCCAAGTCCAGCAACCCAACTCGTGCCCAGGCAGTCCCTGCGCCAGTCTGTCACGCCTTTGTGCTTTGCGTTCTTCGTTGCATTGTCGCCATCTCTTTGCGCCATTGATTTCTTTTTCCTAGGAGTGTAGTATCTAGGACCTTTTTTAGAGGGGGCGGATCCTCTTCTCCGTTGATCTGCTTTTGATGCAGTAGATAACTTATATATTCACTGGATTTCTGGGCATCGTGACCTGATTATTTGAGAGCTTTCTGGATCTTCTTTATCTATCGTTACAGTTCGACTAGAGGTATATTGTTCTCCCTTATTTTGTTCTATTTATCTTAGAATTTTTTCTGTCATGGGTGCCTATGTATTGTTATTGCTATGACTACTACTGTTGAGACCTTTGTTGTTAATACTTCCACCTGGAATGTACCTCCTGATTCTTGTCAGTGTGATTATTGTGGCCGACCAGGACATCTTAAGGCTACTTGCTAGAAGCTCTATCCGGAGCTTAAACCACCTCCTTGCAGCCATACTGCTGCCATTGTTGATGTACCACCACTTTCTACCGCTGCTCCTGTTGCTGCTCCTCTTTGACAGAGTGATATGGATGTTATCACTTCCCGATTAGATATATTTATATCTGCCCTGACTTCTCAGGGTCCGACTACTATTGTCACCACTACAGGTATACCTCGTGTTTCTCATGCTTACGCTAGTCCGTTTCCCCTTTGGATGCTGGACTCAGGTGCGAATGGTCATATGACAGGTGAGGCTCATCACTTCACCACTTTTGACGAGCAGTTACATACATAGGTTTAGCTAACAAATGGGACACATGCCCCTATTGTTAGTAGGGGTACAGTCCGCCTCCCAGATGACTTTACATTACATTCGATTTTTCATGCGTCAAAACTGGCCATTAATATATTATCCGTACATCAGTTAGCTAAAGATTTTCACTGTGCGATTGTGTTTTTATCTGATTCGTGTTATTTGCAGGACCTGAGTAGTACGAGGATTATTATCAGGAGACATGAGAGAGATGGACTATATTATCTAAACGATCCACCTCCATTTTCACCAATTCCTCCACCTCCATCACCTGCACTTACTTTGTCTTTATCTGTTCCTAACTTGCATACTAGTATTTTGCCTAATACTTGTCATTATGATTTTTCATCACAAACTGTTCAATTGTGGCATGATCGTTTTGGGCATACAAATTTTAAATATTTATGTATGTTATTTCCTACTTTGAGCAATACTTGTATTGGTGATAAACTTGACTGTATTACATATTCCCTATCGAAACATGTTCAGACCAGTTATATTCCTCGCATGCACCAGTCACCCAAACCATTTAACCTAATACACTCTGATATTTGAAAACCCTCTTCTGTTACTGCTCGGTCAGGCATGATTTTGGCACCTTCGAAGATGACTGGTGATACGAGTCAGTCGAGTCAGTCGAGTCAATACTGATACGAGTCAGTCGAGTCGTATCCATCTTGGCACCTTCGAAGATGATACCATTACACGATATGTATAAACACCGATTCTCACACAACTCAACCGAGTCTCGCACAACTCGGCCGAGTCATCCGAGTCAATCCCGAGTCGCCGAAATATCGTCACCAAATTGACTAATATGGTTCCACAACATCGTGATATGTCCTGAATTTCTCATCATGTTCAACATTTTCTTCTAAATCGTATCGCCCGATAACGCACCGCGATGCCGCAATCAATGTGTCTCAGAGCTTTCCGAGTTGTGGCCAATACCGCGACCTTGAACCATGCTATCTGGTGCTCGATATTATATGACATTTATAGATGACCACCCGTTGTACTTGGGTCTACATTTTACATAGAAAGTCTGATGTACTCCCTATCATCACTCAGTTTCTCCAGATGATTAAGACACAATTTAATGTCATTGTTCGTGCTCTTCGGTTGGATAATGCCAAAGAATATGTGTCTGATGCCTTAGTGTCTCACCTTTCCTCTTAGGGTATCTTTCAACAGCTCACTTGTCCATATACTCTTGAGCAAAATAGAGTTGCTAAAAAGAAAAATAGGAGTCTAATAGGGATGGTATGTTGTATGCTTAGAGGTATGGGAGTACCAAAATCTTATTGACATTTTGCTATTTTGACTTCTAATTTTCTGTGTAATCATACACTAAGTCGTGTTTTTTAGCATAGCGCTCCCTTACAGGTCTTATTCCCTGAGCGAACACTTTTTTCGGTCCCCCTTCGTGTTTTTGACTACGTATGTTTTGTTCAGGATCAGTCACCTACTTGCCATAAGCTTGATGATAAAGCGATTCGTTGTCTTTGTGAGTTATTGTCATTAGTCTAAGGGGGTATCGGTGTTATGAACCTATCAGGCACCGTACATATCACAGTTTAGATGTTATCTTTCTTGAGCACATTTCTTATTTTTCTTCCAGTCCTATGTCTGCCCCTCCGATTGATGATACTCCTTTTGATTTTCCGTTACCACTAGAGCCAAAGCCATTGGTCATTATCAGTACAAAGTCATCAGTCTCTCCTTCTCCAAAGCCACTCATCCCTGTTAGTACTAAGTCACCAGTCTCTCTTCCTTTGCAGGTTTATATTCATCGCTCTCGCTTTCATCCCCTTACTGATGTCTCCTCTAACTCAGGCGATGCAGATAATACTACTCAATTTATTGAGCATATTGATACACCTGTTGTTAGTACTGATGAGATTGCAGGTACTGAGCCAGTTACTTTCCCTGATGCGACATTGTCAGTGGAGGATGAGGATTTAGGACATCATTATCCGCAGCGTGATCGTCATCCAGTTGTTCGTTATGGTTGGACTGTCAGGACTTTATATCCGATCTCTGCATATGTTTCTTACGGTGATCTGTCTCCTACATTTCGAGCTTATAGTATGGTTTTATCAGATATACCGGTTCCTCGCTTTGTTTCAGAGGCTATACAGGAGCTCCAGTGGGTTCTTGTCATGCAAACGGAGATGGACGCTCTTCAGCGTAATCATATGTGGGATCTTGTCTCTTTACCTTCAGGGATAAAACCTGTTAGCTATCGCTAGATTTACACCCTGAAGTTTCTTGTAGATGATACTATTGATCGTCACAAGGTCAAGCTTGTGGCGAAAGGCTTTACTCAGGTACCAAATCGTGATTTTGGTGCTACTTTTGCCCCTGTGGCAAAATTAACTATTGTTCAGTTGATTATTTCTCTGACTGCAGAGTACTCTTGGCCTCTTCATCAGTTAGATGTGAAGAACGCGCTTCTTCACGGTGATCTGGACGAGATTATTTATATGGATGTACCACCAGACTTTCGTGGTGTGGGGGAGTATACTGGGAAGGTGTGTCGACTGCGCAAGTCTCTTTATGGACTGAAACAATCACCATGAACTTGGTTCTCTCGGTTTAGTGTAGTTGTACGTTTAGGGTTCACCAGATGTCATTCAAATCGTACATGTTTTATTCGACGAAATACTTCTGGGTAGTGTGTCATCTTTTTGGTATATGTGGATGATATTATTATTATTAGGGATAATATTTCTGGGATTGCACAGGTCAAAGTAAACCTTAGGAAGACCTTCAACGTGAAAGACCTTAGATTTCTGCGATACTTTCTTGGGATTGAGGTTTTGCCCGTAGTAGCAGGGGAATTGTTCTTTCTCAGAGGAAATATGTTATGGATCTTCTATCAGACACTGGGATGTTGGGGTGTAAACCAGCATCATCACCCATGATTTCAAACCTAAAGCTTACTACTGAAGGTGAGGAGCTGAATGATCCGACTGTCTATCAGAGGTTGGTAGGTAGACTTATCTACCTAGCCAACACTAAGCCAGACATTTCATTCGCTGTCCGCCAAGTTAGTTAGTTCATGCACAGGTCGTGTCAACCTCATCTTGATGCAGTTTATTATATTCTTCAGTACCTAAAGTCTTGTCTTGGACTTGGGTTGTTCTATGCATCAGGATCTCAGACTGGTTCTCTAGTCTGTTATTCAGATTTAAATTATTGGGAAGCGTGTGACGATCGATCTACTACGGGCTTCTGTGCTTTTCGAGGGACTCATCTTATCTCTTGGAATAGTAAGAAACAGTCAGTTATCTCTCACTTGTCAATAGAAACAGAGTATCGGGCACTAACACTTGACACATGTGAGATTATCTGGATACGATTGATTCCTGGCGAGTTGGGATTTCCAATGACTTCTTCATCTACATTATATTGTGATAATCGATCTGCTATTCAGCTCGCTTCTGACTCTGTATTACACGAGAGGATGAAAGATATAGAGATCGATGTTCACTTTCTTCGGAAGAAGGTTAGCAATGGTATTGTCACTCCATTGTTTGTGGGGACTAGTGATCAGGTAATCAGGTTGCGGATGTTTTCACCAAACTTGTCACTCTATGCATTCTTCGGGACTCCGTTGTCAAGCTTGGCTTAGTTGACATTTTTACGCCTAACTTGAGGAGAAGTGTTGTAGATATAGTAGCCTAGGTTATTAGGGTTTATTAGAGTTTTTTCTCTTTTTACCTTTTTATCCTTATTATAATTTTTATTGGCTATATATATGGGGGCTCTACACTTAATTTTGTATCCCTTTTTTCTCTTCCAAAAATTTCAAGTTCAATTTTCCAAATTCTTCATAGGCCTCACTTTGAAACAACTGACCCATTCCATTGCCCACCTCTTCACAAATTGGTTCAACATCTTTCTCACTATGATTAGAAAATTCTAAAGAGCTACTGTTAGACTCAAGGTTCCTAACCATTTTCCAACAACTTCATTAATATCGAACACTCCTTCATCCACCTCCACCCTCATACGCTCAAATTTCCCTGCACCGAAGCAAATATCAGCACAATCAAAGTCATCACGTGTGATTTGCACTCCCACATCTACTTTGGCAGCTGAAAGATCTACAGTGCCATCATCTCCTTTCTTCGAGACAGCCAAAAGATCTTTCATCTGTTGTTTCTCTTTGATCTTCCTTTGATTCCTCATATCGGTGTTTGAGAGAGACCGACTGAGTTTTGCCCTAGCCAATGATGACGTCTCTCCCTTATACCTCTCACTCGTCTTTTGATTAAAAATCTGGGTTGATTCAAAACTTCCTTTAAGTGGGTTGATCATTCTTGAGTTTAATGGCCCATTTCTCATCCCACTATTTTGAAGAATAATTTTCGGTAAAAACGCAACAGGAATGGGCTCCACCACAAGCTGCTTCTCTCTTTTATTTCCCTCCTCCATACATTGGGCCTTCATCTTACTGGCCACCTATTCCAGCCCAAACTCTTAGGCCCATTTCTACTAGTTTACTTTCTTTCCCAAATTAACTCCATTTTTAATATTTAAATCCCTTCCATCCATCCCAAAATCTTGGTCTTGCTGTAGATTATACTCCCTAACTACCTCATTGAAGGGCATACAAATCGGCCCATTTAAGGTAACTATGTGATTGGGTGAATTTAAATTCTGTACAACCTCTCTTCCTTTTTCACCACGTACTCTTCTCAACTCTAATCTGTCATCTTCAACCTCTTGCCATGCTACCATTTCCAGCATTCCTGTTCCAGTTCCATCTTCTGTTTCTATCCATCATTGAAAAATCTCTAATCTTAATAGTGTAGATTTTCCCATTATAGCTAACATCAAGGGACGTTGTTAAAAAACCAGTCAGTGGACAATTCACACAAATTCTAGATTGCAATAAATTTTGTCGACTCAACGTCTCATGATCAACCTCAACGAAACCTCAACAAATATTTCCAATTCTCTCGAAGACCTCCAATTGCCATAGATGAAATGGAAGTCCTTCAATTGCAATCCATCCTCCCAAGAAGGAAACCTTGCTTCTAAAAGCATTGGATTGATGTTTCCATTGCTACAGCTTCACACTAGCAGAATTCTGCATCCAATAAGTACCTTCTTTGCATATCTCTTCTACCTTGATTATTGAATTACACAAAAAAATTGCTTTATCCGCTTGAAATGGATTTAAATCCACTTAGATCTTCAGAACACTTCCCAGCTGTCTACTTATGACATTCCAAGGATGAAACAGACTCTGTTTGCACCATACCACAGCCTTCTTCCATTTTTCCTCCACAGAAAACAGTGCCTCATCAACTAGAGCATACAATTGACTCTATGGCTTCGGAACCATACCAGTGTTATTATTCTTTAAGCTCCATACCCTGTTTTTTCCACCCCCAATTTCTATTTTTTCCCTCCCCACTAACACTTCGAGTAATCTTCCAAACTCCATCCATCCTTTTGAATCAATGCCTTTTGGTATAATAGTTTCCATCCTTCTTCCATTATTCTTAAACTTTGTAACTCTCAAAAACACAACAAATTTGCTTGACTCCATTTCCACCCAAACACAAAAGCCTGCAGTTCTAAACTTCTTAAGGAAAGGTCCTCTTTGATTCCAAAACACAGCATCATCAATGGCTTTCTTCAACCATGAAAACTTACCAGATCAAAAACATAAGAAAATGAACCTACTCTATTCCATTCTGTAATCTGAAACCAATCATTATTCATCCCTACAAGCTTTACCGAAAAGACTTTTTGTTCAATCTTCACTTCCATAGTACCACAAGAAACACCAAGATGAAAAAACCTCAAAGCACGATCAATAAAGATCAAAATGTAACAAAAAAGAAAGGGGAGAGAGGGAGAGAGATATGCCATCTTTAGATACCTATTAGATATTGATTTGCCAACCATGTCTTTGTCACCACTGGAAAAAAAAGACACTACCATGAGTTGTAACCAGAAGCATAGCAATGGGGATAAATCATTTTTACGGTAATGGTCTCCGTCTCCTCTCAGTGAAAAAACAATATTTATATCGTCTTTAAACCTTTGAGGAAAGATTTTCAAAAATCAATCTGAAACCATTCAACCCATTGATAGTTGAAATGCAAATGTGCGGTTTTTTCTCCATTGATTTTTTGGAAAATTTAGATGAAATGTTATTGATGATCATTAAATTGCCAACCACGGATTTAGAAGCTTGTGTCTGGCTCGAGGAAACTCTGAAGAAATTTAAGCATATCCTTGTTGTGGTTTCACACCCTCAAATGCCTACTTGAAATTAATTACAAAAGAACATTAATCAACAACCAAAGAATAAGAAGGAATTAACATAGTTCAGCCTATAAGACCTATATCTAGGCTACATCTTCACAGCAACTCTTGGTAGTTAGTACATGAGTAACACTCTATATAGGATGAGGTTACAATGAAAAGGATTGAGATAGGCAAGAATTTAAAATTGATGTGGATTGATTTGCTTGATCCCATCAATCATGGGATCTTATTTTCATCTCTTATCCTCAAACAGTCAGAGCTTTGGAAATGAACCAGGCCTTAGAATTCTTAAGGAAAAGTGCTTTGGCTTTTGCCTGATAATAAAATCAACAAACATACAAAATTGGATATATGATATTGATTACAGAACCAAACAGCCTTACTAATGGGCAATGAATATAGCAGAGTCAGAATCAAGAGCCTGAGTATTACTAGGAGAATCATGAACAACAATTGACACAAGATGACCTAAGCTTGGACAAATGTTTGGTAGGCAATGGAAGATAAAAATTTTTATTGTTTTGTCTTCTCAAATAGATTCTCAATTCCATTTCAATTTGCTCCTGTTCATAATGACTCCAACTCTAGTTCCTCTTGAAGAAGAGCTCAGATGGGACAGATGGCAGAACAAATCAAGAGTGGTCTTTACTTAAACTCTTCCTTGAAGAGAGATCTCACAAGAAAATAAGCCACTACCTCAAAGAAGTAACATCTCTCGAAACTTATTTCTTACCCGGAGGGTAAAAATATTGAGAACCTAGGTTTTAGTGAATAGCCAAGGAAAATGGAAAATAAATAGCTTTCTGATCAAACTTACTTCCAAGTCAATTAGGTATATATGGACAAAACAAACAGACTCAAGCACACGATGAAGAACTGAAACACAATTAGAAAAGGAAGATGAAGAGTATGAAGTAGAACCAAATTGAAAGTTTAGAACTCCAGAACCATTCGATTGATGACATATGTGTAAACTCTAATCAAATCATGTGAAAGAAATAACATGTGTAGAGGAGTGAGAGAGACAGAGAGAAACCTTGCCTCCCTCAAACTCATGATGTGATAGTTAGAGTATCGAGAGTTTGTCCACAAGAAAACAAAAACGCACCGTAGTGTGAAACTTCGTGAAAAAGGGCCAATTTTATAGTAGAAGAATCAAAAGGTAAGGAAATAGTCCCATGTTGAAGACAATGACTCACAAAATGATGGTCAGTCTAGATATGCTAGATCCACTCATAGAAAACAGAATTGTGTGCAATCTGAATACCATTCTTATTGTCATAATACATAGAAGTAAGAGAAAAAAAAAATAACTCCTAGATAAACAAGTGAATGTCTCAATCAAACTATCTCTAATGTAGTAGTAGCTAAAGCATGATATTCAGCCTCAACAGTGGAACATGCGACAACAATTGTGTTTTGCTCCTTCAGAAAATTATGTAATCACCCAAAAAGACATAAAAATTAGTGGTGGATTTGCAATCCATAGCATCAAAGGCACAAAACTCCAAAGAAGAAATGGAAGAGAACAATAAACACTAATATAATATACCCTACAGATAATGTAAAATACAGAGAACTATAGTCGAGTAAACTATAGTCGGAGAAGAGATAAACTGACTCACAACGTGAATATCATAAGCAATATTAGGTTGTGAAACAGTAAGATTAGACCAAACTATTAACAAGGATTCAATCCCCAGTAAAATCAACCAAAAAACACCATCAATAGAAGTGTAACGTACACTGAGCTCGAACGGAGCCTCAACAATCCAAGAATCTGTTAATCGAGTCATGTAGATAACATTAACTGCAGAATTTGACTGAAAAAGAAGACAACATTTAGGCGATGAAGCCACTTCAATGCCCAAAAAGTAGTGAAGGAGATCAAAATCTTCAATCTCAAACTTTTTGTTGTAAATGGACCTTCAAAATTGAGACACGCTCATATTCATCTCCATAAATTATCATCCCCTCAACATATAAGAGGAACAATCGAACCAACAAAAGTAGAATGCGGAAAAAAAAAACAGAATCATGATCATTAGAATGAAAACCCAAGTTGTTGATCACAGTAGATAACTTCTCAAACCATGTCTGAGAAGTCTGTTTGAGACCATACAAAATATTTCTCAAATTGCATACCTCACTAGGAGTGTGAGAGAGACCTACAAAAACCTCTGTAGCCAAATCACCATTTAGAAGAGCATTTTCGACATCCATTCAAAATGGTTTCCATTAGTGAACAACTAGTACAACATTTAATGTATGAACTCATCATAATTAATGTCATATTCCTGTTTAAAACCTTTGGCAAATTTTTCAACAAAACCATAGCCTTAACTTAAATTTTATATGTTTACCAATAAAGAAAGGCATAACATCCCATCTCCTAGTTTTATGCAGTACAGAAAATTCTTCATTCATAACTTATTTCTAAATAAGATCAAGAGCAGCCTCCTTATAAGAGATAGACTCAGACAGAGGAGCATAGAAGATAACAGTGAACAAAAATTAGAAGAATAACAAGTGTGCAGAAAATCTAGGCAATGACACTTACGAATGAACTTAAGATAGAGAGAAGATGGAGGATCCACATCATTAGAAGTCAATGGAGATGCAGCCGAAAGACATAGATGTGTTATTCCTACAGAAGAGTTAGTCCTGTTCCTACGAGAATAAGCGGGAAAAAAATAAGAAGGGGCACAACTGAGGAAGACCTTGCGATGTTAGAAGTGAGCATGTCATGAATATAAAAATCACCCGAAATATCATCAAGGAAAGTGTAAATATAAATTAGGGCAGATTTACCAAATTTGTCAGAAGCAATAAGAATGGAGAAGAAAGGAATATATTAAAGAAATGACACATTTTTAGATACATAAACTGTAACGCCCCGCATTTTCTTTTATATATGTATATAGATATATAGTAAATAATTGTGATAAAAAAAAATGTGGATATATGTAGTGATGTGTGTTTGAATTTGGTAGAATGGAAAAGTAGAGATTTAAAATATTAGTAAAAATAATAGTTGAAATTTGATTTTAATAAGTGAAAATATGAAATTTTAGGTCCTAGAACTTGCATTAAATAGGTTTGGTGTAGAAATATGTGTTGGAGAGGTTTGGGATAGATTTGGTTGGCTTAGGAATGGATTGGAAATGGAAAAGGGACGAAGACAGGCTATGAACAGTGCACTACTGCAACTTCAAGCTCGATTTAGACCTTGATGCAGTCAATATCTCTCAAAACATGAAAGTTTTAGAGCTCTTTCATATCATTCCATAGCATCTTGAATCATCTCAATCGGAGCTTGGATGAAAGAGTTATACTCAGATAATGAAATAATGTCGAAATAGTCCAATTAGCTTCGTTTTGCATTTAATGTCTCCATTTGCATCCTAAATCAAAATATAAAAATAATGAGTACTTTTAGACTTCAAATAAGTATAAAAGGCTTTAAGAAACACCCTTTATCACCTTTTATTTACAAACGTCGCAAAACTTCATTAATAGCCGATTCGGATAGGTAAAATAGAAACTTTAGTGTTTCGGGTGTACGTTGACTTGGGTGTTGAGATGAATTATAAAAATAAATGTTTTTAGGTTAAAATAACATTAAAAATGAATCCGAAATATCGAAAAATCTTAGGGTAGTCATATGGATCAAATTGGAGATTCTTAGTGTCAAAACCATAAATTTGGAGAAATCCAAAACAGCCTGTGAACAGTATTTTTCGGGGCTGCTATGTTTTAAACTCATTTTCATTTCATTTGCTCTCATTTCCTTCACTCTCCTCACACCTCCACACCTCTTGAAACCCTAGAGGGCATTAGAGAAGAAGAAAGGAAGAGAAAAACAAGAAATTCAAGGGTGATTCAAGATCAAATATTCTTGTTCTTCACTCCAAAACTAAGGATTCAATGTAGGAGTTTTCTCTCATTCACTTACATTGAGGCTAGGGTATTTATATATGTATGTTTTGGCTATCAATGATATATATATGCTATGGAATCATCCTCTCTTAGGCTTTTTGCAAGGATTACATGTTTTGAACAAAGTAGGGTTTAATACCCATGAAATCTCCTTTCTAGTTTTAAAACCCTAATTTTTGGAGAGTGATGTATTTCCTTCCTAAATGCTTTCTTTATTATGGATTTCGAAACCTTAGTGCTTTGTGTTGGGTAGAAAAATGATGTTATTGTGATCTCATGTATTTTCTTAGTTGGTTGTGGAATTGTTACATGATATATTTTGGGAATTTTGGATAGATGCTTGTAAATTGAGATAAATGTTGGAATTGTATGCTTGGTTGGGTTGTTTGTGATGCACATGAGTGAGAGGTTCCTTGTAAGGATGCTCACCCCTTCCCAAGAGGTTCCCGGTAAGGATGCTTGGGAAATAATGTAGTGATTGGTGAGAGGTTCCATGTAAGGATGCTCATCCATTCTCAAGAGGTTCCCGGTAAGGATGATTGAGAATCAAAGGTGAC